ATAAGAAAGAGAAGATGTTCCAAGTCCAGGCGTTCAGTTTCAGGAGACGTATTCCCAAGTGCTCGCTAGCCGCCTGGGACTAATGGCTGCCACGCTGCAGGTCTGGAACAGTTCCCTCGGTGTGGAAAGTTCTGTACTGTCCACTCACCTGTGGTGGAAATAGCAAGTTTATCTGTGTATATTTTTTAACAGTCTCACAGACTACTAAAAGTTATCCCCAAATGACTTGCAAAACAACGTCATCGGTATGGACAGAATGCAGAGAGGGAGACTTCCTGTTGAGCGTCCTGTGTGGCCCGGAAGAGTGCGCATACAGTGTCTGTTTATGTGGGCCCCTGCACAGCAGGCTGCCACCCTCCTTCCCAGCCGGGCAGGGGACGAGGCGTCTGGCCCAGGACACAGCCGGCCTGAGGGAGCACCAGGCTTCAACCTCAAGGCCGTCTGGGTCCCCAGGGGAAATATTGTGGTTAGGCTTTGCAGATTGAAACCCAGATCTGCTGCCTCAAGTAAATAACAGCATCCAGAGAACACGTTTCAGCCCTTAGGTCACACGCGTCTGGGCACCAGCAAGTCGGAACGAGGCTGAGAGGCAGCTTGCTAAGACAGGCAGTGAGGACCTCAGACAGGCCTCGAAATACAGCCCTGGGGAATCCTTTGCTGCTGCGTGCTTTCCGACCGGGACCCAGAAGTGAACCCAAGGGAGTGCAAACAGTCGTGTTTGGGTGGGTGGATTACTGATGCAGTCTCTAAAAAAGTCCTTTAATGGTGTCTCAGCATTGTCTTAACATAAAATGGAGGAAAGGAAAAAGAAGAGCATGTTAGGCAAAACCTGTAAATCTCGGAAACACTGCAGCTGAGACTGATTAATCACTCTGCTTTTGGAAGGAGAGCGTGCTGTTCACACGTGCGCTGAATAGTAAACGCGTCTCGGCTGGTTCTTCATGTCCATGTGACAGTGAGCTGCCTAAGCGTGATCTTAGGGGACCAGCCCGGGACTGGGGTGAAGAGACCCAGACTGGCAGGACTCCCCTGGGTCGGGACCTAACCAAGTCCCCTGCCCTCTCTGCTTCCTGGTTTCCTCATCTGTGACTTGGGGACTGCAGTTCAGTCCAGAGGGTTACTGTAAAGGCCAGATGAAATCGCACCTGTGAGCGGGCTTTGTGATCCTCACTGCTGTGCAGATGTAGAGTGGGTACTGGGGTTTCTCTCAGGCTTGTCTGTTTTGTTCACGGTAGTGGAGCCCATGCAGAGAGGGGAGAGAAGCCCGTCGACGGTTCTCGTCACGTGATCCCCTCCCCTCAGCCCTCCCGCTCTTCGGGATTTGGGTCATGCTTGCATGCCTGGTGTGTTTCAGGTCAACCGGGCCAGGGGTCCGAACCCTCAGAGGACCATGTGGCTCCCAGCCCTGTAGTCTAGTACCATACCACCTAAGCTGGCTGCTCATTAGTATTTAGTCTTGGTGCTATGAATAGGACTCGGCAGGGTTATTTAGCAAACATCTCTTGAAGCTGCCTCTTAAGAAACTCATTCCAGTGCATTCATTGGTTTAGCCTTTTTTTTTTTTAATTAATAAACTTTTGTTGTGGTTGTGGGGGTGATTTTTTTGTTTTTTTTTAAAGGTTTTTGCCATAGGACATGTGTGTCTCTCAGCGAGAGACAGTGAAAGAGAGAAATTATGCCCCAAAAAGGAGGCCATGCTGCCATTCTTCTCCCTTTTCCTCCTGGGATTTTGGACACACATGCCCATGTGTCTGGCATGATTCCCAAGCCACCAGGTCCAGGACTGAAACCATGATCAGCCATGTGGGAGTCCAGCACCCCAACTACCATGGCACCTGCTGGCCCCATAGACTTTAGTTTTAGGGCAATTTTAGGTTCACTGCAAAGTTGTCTGAAAACGAGCCTTCCTGTGTACCCACACAGCCTCCCCTATCAACTGTCAGCACGCGACTTAGCCCGTTTTATTGCGTGCTAACAGTGTGCAGTGCAGGGGTTCTTTTTTATTTATTTATTTTTGGGGGGGAGAGATTTTCATATAGGGTGCGTGCGCTCGCCAGACAGACAGAGACAGACATAGAGAAAGAAAGCGAGAAATCACCCCCCAGGGGGGATGGTCCCGCCGCAATCCCTTCCCCTCCATTCTCCTCGTAGGATCTTGGGCACGCACACACATGCGCCCAACGTGAGTTTTAAGCCACCGGGTCCGGGACGCGAACCGTGGTCGACTACGTGGGAGTCCAGCGACATAGCCATTACGCTAAGTGCTGGTTCCCCAGTACAGGGGTTCTTAGACTCAAAAAAGAAAGGCTGCCATTTCCAGGGAGGCCCCACTGTGACCTCGCCAGGCCCTGAGTGACAGTGGATCCTGGGTGACCAGTGATCAGAACCCGTGGACAAGTTCTTGACCCCAGGCCCCTGGGCCAACCCAGCGCATTCCAGCAGCTCTTCAGAAGCCTCAGCCACACCGAGGCTGACCCGGCATCTGGGGGTACGGCAGAGAGCTCCAGCCACAAAAGTGCCCCCATCCTCTGTCATTGACTTGGGAGCGTCTCAGAGGTGGAGTTAAGTGACGACGAAGAAGCCCATGGGCTTTGGTCTCTGGCCTGCTCCCTCATTGGCCATGGGCCCTTGGGCAGATTTCTTCAGTTTCAGGATAATAATAGCATCCACCTTAGGACCAGCAGGTGGTGTAATGGTTATTGCTGGACTCCCACATACTCAACCACGGTTCATGTCTCAGACCCGGTGGCTTAAAACTCACACCAGACATGTGTGCACCCAAGATCCTGAGAGGAGAATGCAAGAGAAGGGGTAGTGGTGTGGCCATCCCCCCGCCCCCGCCCTGGGAGGAGTGATTTCTCGCTTTCTGTCTCTGCCGAGTGCATGTACCTTATCGCAAAAAAAATCTCTAATAAATGAATAAATAAATAATGTCCGCCTGGAAGGAGTGTTCTGCAGATTTAAGAGGGCGTGTTTCTAAAGAAGCTCGTCCACACCGGGTATGCAGTAGGGGCTCACTGTACGGACCCTCGTTCCCCTGACCCATGGTTTAACTTGCAGTGGTTTCAGTTACTCATAGTCACATGTGTTCTAAAAATATTACATGGAAAATTCCAGCATTAAACAATTCATGGGCTGGCCCCAAAGCCTGGTGGTTAAGGGAAGCCAGATTCCTTATGGTCGACCACAATGTGAATTCCAACCCCAAGAGCTTGAGAAACATGCGGGGTACATGTGCATGTATGCCCCAAATGCAGACAGGATGGAGAAATGGAGAAGAGATTGCAGTGTGACCTTGCCCCATTGGGGGCGCTGTCTCTCTCTCTCTCTCTCTCTCTCTCTCTCTCTCTCTCTCTCTGTCCCTCTGTGGCAAACATACATGCCATCTGGCAATTTTTTTTTAATTCATCAATTTTAAATTGCATATCATTCTGAGTAACATGATGGAATCTTGCCCCAACCCATCTGGGACTGACTCACCCCTTCGTTTGGTGAGTGTGTGCCGTGTCCGCCTCCTCCCATCAGTCACCCAGCAGCTGTCTGGGCTCTTGGATCAAAGAACTGTGGCATATGTGAGGTTTGGTAGTGTGCTCTGCTTCAGGCACGGGGCGGGGGTCCTGGAACACGAGGGGCAAACGGTATCTCTCTGTGCTCTGCTTTGGGTTTTCTCCCTCCCCAAATGCCGCACGGCACCTTGGCTTAGTTCTCCCTGGCTTCTCAGAGCTTCTTTCGGTATCAGAGGGACTGAGCTGAGTGTCGGGGTGACTCTCCTCCAGATAAGGTGACGGACAGACCTTTTATGTTCCAGCCGTTACTTCGGGAGTCTCGGACTCCTGCCCGTCTGCCCTGTCCTAGGTGGGGGTTCGCTTCCCCACTGTAAGATGAGGGCATCTGCGTCTCACCACGTGGCCATCGGAGGTAGTCGGAGCTCTCGGGTCCCACAGCACCCCTGCTGGAGTGTGGCTGGCCCCATGGCAGGGGGCAGGGTGACAGCACCCACCAGTCATCCATCTTCCACCTGGGAGGGACACGTGTCTTTTCTGCCCACTCTGAGCTGGCCACATACACTCCTGGGGCCAGAAGTACAGGCCTGCTGCGTGCTCGGGAGGAGAGCTAGAAACGTTCGAAGCCTGTTAGTGACTGTCACTGCCCAGCTTTAATTCTTACGTGACGTTGCCAGTTGGAATCGTCCTGTGGGTCAGAAGCCCAGGCAGGCTCAGCTGGCTTCTCTGTTCAGGGTCTCACAGGGCCAAAGTCAGAGTGTGGGCTGGGCCACGTTCTGTCTGAAGGATCCGAGGAAGAGGCCCTCAAAGGTTATGTCACCCCCAAAAGCACACAGGGAGTAAGTACAGAATCCGGTATTTCACGGTGGTTTCTTAAAAGGCCAGGAGGCCCTGACAGCGCCATTCACGGTTTTCCGTGGCACTCTGCCCTCTTCCTCCTCTGCCCCGCAGCAGCTCACGCCACCTATAATTGATCTGTTTCCCAGTCCCCTCGCAGGATTGTGAATTGTCTTGTCACTGTCCCCCGTGCGCCTCACACAGAGCCAGCACGAGGCTGGCTGTCGCCCCAACCTGGGAGTTCCTTATGGGTCAGGGGATCTCGTGGGCACAGACTCACCCAGAGCAGTTCAGTCTCGGTGGTTTACTTCCCAACATAACCTGGCGATCCTTAGGGGCGAGATGGCCTCCCGTCCATGAAGTGCTGGTGCCTGGGGCTTGCTGTTCACATTCCAGGGTCCGTGGCTTGAGACACCCAGGAAAACCAAGAAAGGGCCCGCTGAGCCTTGAGCCTTCACAGGTCTGGCAGCTGTTGGTACAAGGATTATTTTTATGGGGATCTAAATTCCAATTGAAATTGCCTTCTTGGCTCTCTGGACGCCTGGGACAGAGTGAACCTAGTGTATATCAAATCGCATACTTTGCCTAATTCTGTAAGATGACAGATGCACTTACTGTGTTATGAAAGGTTTTTGGTTTTGTTATTCTCCCCCAATTTAGATGCAGATGTTGGACAAATTTCCCATGGAAGGAGGGCAGAAGGACCCCAAACAGCGGATCATTCCCTTTCTGCCAGGTAGGTGTGGTGTGTGCGCTCGGATGGGGACTCTTATGCAGCCCTCAGATCTAAGCAGTTTATCACCTCGCTCTCCTTGTTCTAGGACACTCTCCCACTGGCAGACTCAGTCCTTTGTAGAAGTTAGTGCAGGACCAGCAGGTGGCGTAGTGGTACTGTCGCTGGACTCCCACGTGGCTCACCGTGGTTCAAGTCTTGGACCTGGTAGCTTCAAACTCACATTGGGCATATGTGCATGCATGCCCAAGATCCCGAGAGGAGAATGGAGGAGAAGGGATTGTGGTGTGGCCATGTCCCTGGCCGGGGGGACGATTTCTCGCTTTCAGTCTTTCTCTCTCTGTCTCTCCGGCAAGCATAAGCACCTTATAGCAAAAATCTCTCTAAAAAGAAAAGAAGGATGTGACTTTGGGGTCAGATGTGACATCGTGTGCTACCGTAGGCAGGACCTTGCCCCTCTGCGGTCCTGGTTTCTCCCATTTCTCAAATGGGAACGGAGCTCAGAAAGTGTCTGCGTGAATGGCTTCTGTTACTATCACTGTTGTGTTAGTTCTTTATTCCTGTCCAACAGATGACTGCCAACTGCAATTTCACAGTTTAAATGACGCCCTTTTATTGTCTCAGGGCTCTGTGTGTCAGGAGCCCAGGCACGCTCAGCTGGCTTCTCTGTTCAGGGTCTCACGAGGCCAAAGTCAAAGTATGGGCTGAGCTGGGCTGGGCTGGGCCGAGCTGAGCTGGGCCCACACTTCCCTGGAGGCTCCACTCCCAGCCCCCTGCAGCGCGCTGGCAGAATTCCGTTCCTTGCAGCCCCAGGACCTCGGGCCCTGCTTACTTGCTGGTGATCAGCGGTGGACCCCTCTGCTTCCAGAAGCCACCCTCAACCCTCATCACACGGCCCCCTCCATCTTCAGCCTGGCAGTGGCACGTCATACCCTTTCCTTCCGCCACCAGTCAGAGAAAGCTGTTCGCCTTAATTTTTTCTTAGTTCGCCTCAGAGCAGGTGCACTGGAGAGACAGAGAGAGCAAGGGAAGGTGGGAAGTCACCCCCCAGGGGGATGGCCGTGCTGCAGTCCCCTCTCCTCCAGTCTCCTCTTGGGATTTGAGCATGCACACACACCCACTGTGATTTTCCAGACACCGAGTCTGTGACATGAATCAGCCAGATCCAGGACTTGAGCTGCAAAGTCAGCCGTAAAGAACCCAGGCTCCTTACCCTCTTTGCCGCCTGCCAACTCAAAGGCTGTCTGCTGTTAAGGGCTCAGGACTGACCGGGTCCATCCAGGGGACTCTCCCTCTCTTAGGGTGAATGCAGGGAATATCGTACCTCATCATGTGTCCAGGCTCTGGGGATGAGGGTGGGATATTGTGGAGCCCATTTTAGAAATTTTCCCAGGGCTGGCAGGTGGTGTGGGGGTTGAGGTGCTGGACTCCCACATGACTGGCCACAGTTCAAGTCCTGGACCTGGTGGCTTGCTTTTTCATATTCCCTTTTTTCTCTCTCTGTGGTCAAATTAAGAACTAATAATAACAGATCAAACTAAATAAATAAATAGTTCTTTTAAAAAGGAAGAAAGAACTTCTCCCCATCAGCCGAGCACAGCATGTGCTGTACAGAGGTGATGGCCGGTCTCCGTTACCTGCTGTGGCTCAGAGGTAGGGATGCCCAAGCCCAGTTACGGCTTCAGGTGACAACAGCGACCCCTTCCCGCAGCCTACTGTGGGCCAGCGCCGAGCGAAGTGCCTTGTGAGACATCACCTGGTTTAGTCGTTACTGGTTCAGTCCTCACCGCAGCCCTGGAGGGAAAGACCTGGTCACGGAGGAGGAGTCTCCAAAACCAGAACACTCACCCTGGTGGCAGAACTGGGATTCGTACACCGTTGTGACTGGCCGCAGTGTGTGTGCCTGGAGTCAGATGATCTGGATTCGAACCACTCACCAGCACCAGCGTTGCTGTGGGTCAATGGCTTAAGCACCTGGGGTCTTCTTTATTTGCAAATAGGCGATCACAATGGTGCTGAAGTCATGGGGTCCTTCTGAGGACTGTGCATGCCCGGCAGGGAGCCGACAGCCCATAAGCCCCTACTGTTATTACTATGGTTTGTGTATGCACAGTCAGCAGAATGGGAGTCCCCCGAGTCAGCCATTGAGAGCTGGAAAGGCCCTTTAGCTCTTGTTCTTCAGAGGAGGGAACGTGCCCAGAGAAGGGGAGACCCACCCTGTCACACAAGCACCCGGCCTCCACCTCCCACTCCGTAGTCAGTGGGTGCTTCCGAGGGTGGTCACCGCCCGCCCGGTGTGCAGACAGGTGTTCGTGTTGGCCGGGCCTCCCCACTGGGAGAACCCTGTGCCTAAAACTAATACTTCTAGTTTTTCCTCTGGAATTTCTTTTTCCGGCTGGAGAGAGCCCAGTGTGCCAGCGGCCAGAGCCGGACATCAGGCCCAAGGCCTGTGCCCTGGGGTCAGACAGACCCAGCCCTATGGCCTCCAGGAGACTCCACGCTCCCTGCAGGCCTGTTTCAGCGGCTATAAAATGAGAGTGACCCCTGCTTCACAAGGCTCCATCTTCAGCATGGAGCAGGAGCTCAATAAAGTCAGGAGCAGGGACTGGACAGCCTCTAGAATGTCTTAATCCTGGGACCAGCAAGTGGCTCGGTGGTTAAGGTGCTGGACTCCTGCATGGCCGACCATGGTTTGAGTTCCAGATGTGGTAGCTTGCTTTCTCACTTTCTCTGTCAAATTAAAAAATAATAATAATATTAAATAAAATCATTCTTTAAAATATATAAAAATGTCTTAATCCTTAGTGACCGATCTGGACATTGAAGTTTAAGTTCTAAACGTGAGGTTTTCTTCAAGAAAGGAAAGGCAGGCCATGTTAAAACTCGTTTCTGGATGAAAGGCCAAACCCGCCTTGGAACAGCTTCCCAGGATGAGAAGGACTTGAGCCGACCCTCTCCCAAGCTCCTAAAAGCTTTCGTGGTTACGTAATCCTCTTCCACCCAAAAGTTCATGAAAATGCTTTTCTCAGGGACTCAGCCCCTTTGTCCCTGCTCAAGGCGTCCACTTACAACTCTGAGAGGTCTCGCCCGGCCCAGGGACCCCTGGAGCATCCCTTCTGAGCCCACTCCCTTAGCTTTTCCTCCAGGCCAAGGCCAGGGCAGGGAAGCTGGAGATCCCCTCTCCCGGGGGTCAGTCCTGGCCCAGACTGCCGCGTCAGCAGGACAAAAGCAAGTCTCCTGTGAGCCTGAGGACGGGGGAGGGGCGGGCGGCCTCCCTCTGCAATTTTCCGTCCCAGCAGGAGCTGGGGAAGCCAAGTTGGCAGAGGACGCGGCTTGAAAAATAAGAATTACAGTTTGGCCTTTCTCCACTGTGGAAAACAAAGCCGACCCGTTCCCACCAAAGCCTGTTCTCCTCTCGACACCCTTTCCAGTCCGGGCAGGACTCATGCAGACACTCCTCAGCAGGCCCAGGAGGGGCTGCCATCCCGTCGGCTTCCTCCGGGCAGCAGCGGCCAGGGAGGGATGGCTCACGTGCCCGAACCGCCGGCCACACGGTCCTGTCCCAGGGCCAGAGCTGAGTGGGGACTCTGACTCTGCGGCAGTAGATGATGAATCAGCCCCCAGGGGCAGGCTTCCAGGAAGCTGGGGTTGGAGGAAGGCAGTGTGCCTTTAACTGCAGGGTGGTCCTCTGTGTCACCTCAGCTCCTCTACAGGAGCACTCCTTTGTGAGCACCTGCCGAGGGAGGGCCAGCCCGTGCGAGCACCTCCTGGAGTACTTCTGGGTGATAGGGGCTGCTGTCCCAGTCTACAGATGTGCAGGCCGAGGCTCGAGAGTTAAATGTGTTCCCGGGGTGACACAGCTAGCACGAGGCAGCCTGGGAGTGGCCTGTGGCCTCCCAGCAGGCTCTGCTGTTACCACAGACTTCCCGGCCTTCTGCAGGGCAGCAGCCTGCGCCTGGAGTTCCCTGTCCCGCTGAGGCTGCAAAGACAGGAACGACACTTCTTTTTCTTTTTCTTTTTTTTTTTTTTTTAAATTTTAAGTTTTTGCTATAGAGTATGTGAGCTCACTGGAGAGAGAGAGAGTGAGAGGTCATCCCCAGGAGGGGTGGCCAAGCTGCAATCCCTTCTCCCTTCTCCTCTTGACACCCACAGACACGTGTCCAGTGTGAGTTTCAGGCTGTCGGTTCTGGGACTTGAACTGCGGTCAGCCATGTGGGAGTCCAGCACCTTATTACTCCACCTGCTGGCTCCAGTTGTCTTAGTCTTTAACGTACTTGCTCTGCTACTGCCTCCCATGAGAAGATCTTCCGTCTGGACCCTCGAGAACTCACAGAATTGCTTTAAACAAACCCACACGGTAACATTTCAACGTTTTAGATCTTTCCAGAAATCCTCGGTGGCTTCATACATGTATTTGTGTTTTCCTCTGACCCACATACTCTGCCTACATGTCATACTGGAGGGTCCCAGTGCCATGCCCCGGTGTTTAGAATGTCACCAAGGGGAAGACTTAACCCACTTGCAAATATTAAGTGGAAAGGAGTCAGAGGGAATTCGTCATCTCCCAGCACAAGCCACACTCATGTTTATCTCACACGAGTGCCACCAAATCAACCAAGACCTTGTCAGCACCTGTCCCCATGGGTAGCCAGAAACAGGGAGCCCTGAAACACAGATAATGGGTGTGCAATTAAGAGGCAGGACTCTTTTTTTTTAGAAGTATTTATTCAGTTTCATTTATCATTATTTTTTAAAATTTGCTACAGGACATGCACTCTCAGCAGAGAGAGACAGACAAAGTGAGAAAGCAAGCTGCCAGGTCCAGGACTCCCATGTGGGAGTCCAGTACCTTAACTGCCATGCTACCTGCTGGCCCCTGTGACACGACTTTTTTTTTTTCCTTTTGAGAGAGATTTCTGCTATAAAGCTCATGTGCTTACCAGAGAGACAGAAAACAAGATATCACCCCTTACGGAGGATGGCCACAACACAAGCCCTTTCTCCATTCTCCTCTCAGGATTTTGGACATGCGTGCACCCATATCTGGTGTGAGTTTTAAGCCACCAGGTTTGGGACTCCAACCGCGGTCAGCCACGTGGGAGTCCAGCACCATAACCACCATGCCTCCTGCTGGCCCTGAGACTGAAACTCTTAACTCTTTAAGGGAGTAAGAGTTTCTCAACAGGGGTGGTGGGTGGGACTGTATGGGAGGGTGTTCCAGCTGAGCAGAAGGCATAGGATCCTGAAAGAACACAGAGGTCTGGGGAGCATGAGAGAGCAGAAGGACCCTCAGCAGAGGGGCAGGGAGGAGACAGCTATTAGATTAGGACATCCCGGGGTCCGCTGTGCTGCTCAGAATTGCATGGGCCCCAGAGTAGCTGGCCTAACCGTCCGTCTTCATGGGTCGGAGCGCCTTCCTTCCCTGGGTTGCTCCCTGCCTCCTTGGTCTCATCCCATCACGTCCTTGTACTGGGGCTCTGGATAGAGCTGTGGGGGCCACGTGTGGGGCTGTCCAAGCCCTGTGGGAGTCCAGCAGTGGTTGTTGGTGGCAGCCGCAACGTTCAGTACCACCAGGTCTACCCCAGGGAGACACCCTCCCAAGCTGCTGAAGTCGTCACTGCTCTCTGACGTGTGCTCTCACCTTCTGCAGGCAAAATCCTCTTCCGGCGAAGCCACATCCGGGACGTGGCCGTCAAACGCCTGATCCCAATTGACGAGTACTGCAAGGTAAGGCTGAGAAACACCAGCACAGTCTTCCCTGTGGGTGTTTTTGCTTTTTTTCATTTTCCTTTTCTGGTTAACAAGATGCTCGTTGTGAAAATTTGTACAGTTGAAAGAAAGTAAAGAAATTAGAATAGAAATCACCCGTGACGCTGTAAGCCAAAGGCAACACAGACGAGGGGCCTTACATGCTTCCTGTCCATGCTTTCTCTGTGCACGCCTTTCTTTGCTGAGTGCACGTCCTGCCTTTGTCGTTTCCCCTGCTCTTTCTCTTTCATCTAGTAGTACATCATCACATTTCCCCATGCTGTTAAAAATCGTCTTGCGCCTACCTTTAACGACCGCGTAGATTCCCATCACGCGCAAATGCTCCAAGTTAGCCATCCAACCCCTGTTCCATGTTTTTGAAGTCCCCTCTGACGACGGTGGTCCTGAAGGATTGTGATAAGTCAGATGTGAGCTCTGTGATACTCACACAGAATCACCTCAGGACACGTTTCTCAGAATATACCCCGTCACTACGGGACACCTGACTGTATTTCATTTCATTAGAGACTGGTCAGAAAAGCAGCATGTTTTCATTTTGGTTAGCTTTAAAAAAAAAACAAGGAAGAACCATACTACTCATTTTCAAACTCCCACAAAGCTCCAGTATTCAAGGCAGTGTGGCACTGACTTAAGGATAGGCATGTGGGTCAGTGGAACAGCACTGAGTCCAGAAGTAAACTCTTACAAAGTGTACGGCCTGTCGACTTCAGCAGAGGTGCCAAGACTAACAGAAAAAAGATAGTTCTTTTATATCTATATATGATTTGCTTTTTATTTTTTCTCAGAGGATAGTTCTTCAGCCTTTAAAGACTCAGTTCCTCACTTTCATGGGTTCTGGTGGAGGACGAGGGGCAGCACCCACAGGTCTAAATCGGGGTGGGGGCGTTTGGTCGTCTGAGCTTCACAAGATCAGTTCCTGACTCCCTCGCTGTGAGTGGCACGACTCACACAGTTAGGCAGCGTCACATACAGCTTGGGAGCACACAGGTATCAAAGACACTTGCTCTAGGGATGTCCCTGACGCTGTGGCCTCCACTGTGTTTCAGATGACGAACTTAGTAGCTGTGTCCTTGGGCATGCGTCGGGCGCAGTCCATGCAGTGAGTAGGGCTGCTCGTGGCCGCCCTTTTGTCACAGCTGCTGCTCCTTCTTTTCTTCATCATCTGGGAGGTTAGGCCACGAGAGAGCAAGACCACAGTTCGAGTCCCAGACCCGGGGGCTTAACAAACGGTTGGAACTCTGACTGTCGTCATTAGTTCCCTAGGGATGCCTGAGAAAGTACGACAGAAGAAAACTGTGGGCGGCTTCTACAGCAGAGATTTTTCTGGAAGCGGCAGGGCCTGGGCAGCCTCTCCCCTTT